TTACAGAACCACCCCAAGGCGGCCGACTGGGGAGAGCCCGTTCGCAATGGCGTATGGTACCGAAGCAGTTATACCGGTTGAGCATTTAGTCCCCACTATCAGAAGCTTAGCATGGAGTCGAGATCAGAACGACAAGATGTTAAGATTGAACCTCGACATGATAGACGAAAGGAGGGACGCAGCGGCTATAAGGCTAGCATCGTATCAGCAAGTGCTGGCGAATAGTCACAATAAGAGAGTAAAACACAGGGATTTTGCCCCGGGCGATCTGGTTCTGAAAAGAAAGGTGGGGATGGTCAAAAAAATGATGCCACCCTGGGAAGGCCCATACAGAATTGCAGAAGTCATTGGCAAAGGGGCATATATGTTGGAAACCATGGCGGGAAAGTTGGTCAGCAAGCCCTGGAACGCCACGTCTCTGAAGAGGTACTACCAATAGAAGCTAAGTTCTGGCTTTAATTGGATGTTATTTGTTGTCAATCAAATACGTATGAATGAGCAAGTTACTGGAATTTACAAAAAAAGAATTTTCTTTTCCAATGGTCTACTATAAAAATTTAAAGCCAAGTGGCAAGTGGCATTCTAGCCGAGCGCCAGGCACTTAAGCAAGATAAGTGGCAGCTGGCACTATAAGCCGAACGCCTGACACTTACTAAAAATTTAAATCCAAGTGGCAAGTGGCATTCTAGCCGAGCGCCAGGCACTTAAGCAAGATAAGTGGCAGCTGGCACTATAAGCCGAACGCCAGACACTTGCTAAAAATTTAAAGCCAAGTGGCAAGTGGCATTCTAGCCGAGCGCCAGGCACTTAAGCAAGATAAGTGGCAGCTGGCACTATAAGCCGAACGCCAGACACTTGCTAAAAATTTAAAGCCAAGTGGCAAGTGGCATTCTAGCCGAGCGCCAGGCACTTAAGCAAGATAAGTGGCAGCTAGCACTATAAGCCGAACGCCAGACACTTGCTAAAAATTTAAAGCCAAGTGGCAAGTGGCATTCTAGCCGAGCGCCAGGCACTTAAGCAAGATAAGTGGCAGCTGGCACTATAAGCCGAACGCCAGACACTTGCTAAAAATTTAAAGCCAAGTGGCAAGTGGCATTCTAGCCGAGCGCCAGGCACTTAAGCAAGATAAGTGGCAGCTGGCACTATAAGCCGAACGCCAGACACTTGCTAAAAATTTAAAGCCAAGTGGCAAGTGGCATTCTAGCCGAGCGCCAGGCACTTAAGCAAGATAAGTGGCAGCTGGCACTATAAGCCGAACGCCAGACACTTGCTAAAAATTTAAAGCCAAGTGGCAAGTGGCATTCTAGCCGAGCGCCAGGCACTTAAGCAAGATAAGTGGCAGCTGGCACTATAAGCCGAACGCCAGACACTTGCTAAAAATTTAAAGCCAAGTGGCAAGTGGCATTCTAGCTGAGCGCCAGGCACTTAAGCAAGATAAGTGGCAGCTGGCACTATAAGCCGAACGCCAGACACTTGCTAAAAATTTAAAGCCAAGTGGCAAGTGGCATTCTAGCCGAGCGCCAGGCACTTGCCGTACAAACACACGGCGAAGCTAATATAAAAAGAAAAAGAGAGAAAAGATATGTATGTACTGAAGATAAGTTGAATAAAGCACAACACATAGGGAAAAGGAGTTCTGTCATTTCATTAATATTGAACATTAAGTTTACAAAAGAGAGATGTCCATCATTACAAGAAGATATGAACTAGAAGAATTCGAAGGAGCCCTAGCTAGACGCCTCAGTACCAACAGCATCCTGGTCTTGCCGACTCGTCTCCTCGGCCCCATCAGCCGCCTCACCCTCGTGAGGTGGGGAATCCAGGTGAATGACTGAATCGTTCGGCTGGGGTTCAGCGTCAGCAGTAGCTATAGAAGGAGCCACGGTTGACGATTGGGGAGCAGTCAGTGGCAGAGCAGTAGGAGGAGCGGTGATGATCCTTGAGGATGCGATGTCCTGGCACTCATCAAATATACGTTCAGCTTCGGTGGGTTCTGGGTCGACATAGACCCCCAGAGGCTCGATCCCCAGATCCTTGTCTACCTCATCCGGAGTGGAGCTGGTCTGTCCCTCATCCGGAACCCGGTCGGCGAAACCTTCCCGGAATCCTTGAGCATACCGAAGAGCACCGACCCTGGAGAACCGAGCGTGAAGGGCCAGCATCCCACCACCCACTCTGCTAATCACGTCGATCAGAGCGGTACGCTCGTCGAGAGCTCTTTTTTCAAAAGCCATCCGAGCAGACTGTTCATCAGCTAGAAGGCGCTGGAGTTCTGCCTTCTCTTCTCTGATTGATTCCCGCTCAGTCTGCCAGACGCTCTTCTCAAGCTGGAGGGCGTCCTTCTCATCCTGAAGGGAATCATTCTCCTTCTTCAGGACATCTCTCTCTTGTTCGGCTTTGTCAAGCCGAACCAGCACCTCGGTATTCTTCATGGCAAGGAGGTCGTTTTCTTTATTAGCCACCTCCAGGCTGTCAGAATACTTTCGGGCCCTGGCGTTCCCCATCTCCACCTGCTTCTGCATGGCCATCATCCCGAACAATGTCTGCATAGGTGCACATTAAAAACGGTTAAACCAATAGTCAGAACGGGCGAAGGCAGGACCAAGTAATATGAGAGAATTCATGAGTTAGAAAATAAAAGTCACCTCCATAGCAGATTGGGGAAAGCGACTGAACACGTCCTTCTGGGAAAGACCCTTTGCCGCCTCAAGGTCCTTCGGAGTCCACATGCTCCTATAGTAGGCCATAGCGGTCTGGCCATCCTTCAGCATGGTCTCGTTCGGTTTCACGAACGTCCCATCCGTTCGGGTGTACCGAGGGGCCCATGGCGGTAAGCTAGGGATAGAAGGGGGGCCCGAAGCAGAAGCAGAGCCACCAGCTGCGGGAGGCCCAGAGGGAGAAGGAGCTCTGATCGCTCGGTGCAGGAGAGTACCCGGCCCAGAGACCCGGGTCCTTCTAATGAGAGGCTCCTCCTCCGGATCGATTTCACTGTCAGGATGAGGCCTTTTGCCTCGCTCTTTGTCCCGACCACCCCCCGCAGCAGCAGGAGCTATGGTAGCTGGGGAGGGCGCGTTCTGGTTGGCAGCAGGGGCGCTGGCAACAGGGTTAGTAGCCACTGCGCTCGGGACAGTGTCAGATATGGTGGCTGAAGAAGAAGCCGACGCTGGAGAGGAGGTCGCCCCAGCAGCAGGAGTGGCTGGGGGAGTATTTTTCCTCCTGCCAAAAGAGGGAATCTGCAGTCTGCTCATGTTGTAGCCGAGTGATGAGAGCGCAAAGAGGTTGTCTGAAGTGAGGAGATCTGAGCAGGAAGGAATATCGTTCAGAACGTATCGCTTCAAGTAGTTACTCCTATCCCTGCAAACACTATAGCTCAAGTCATCACAAGGTATTCCCAAGGAGCGGCATAAGTAAGTGCAAAAACGAGGAACGCATGTTTCACAGGGGCAGTCATGTTTATAGGATTTGAATTTTTTATAGGAGGAGACAGAGCAGACACCAAAGGCGCTCGGGATTGGGTAATCCTCTGCAGCCGGCGAGGACCAAGCCCCACTAATGCCCACTATGCTATCCCTCCAACCCTTTTCGGATTTTATTGTGTCAGTGCATATGGACATCTTCTCGAACGGGTAGAGGTGGTAGAAGGGCTCGTTAGTACGGATCTTACTGACCTTATAGCACAGAAGGAGGTCTATGAGGTCGAGATCCAGATTTCTGTCACGCATCAATAAGAGCATAACAGATATGATCCTAAAGAAGTTGGGGTTGACCTGCATAGGGGATATCCCCAATCTATTGAAGACATAACTAAAGAAAGGGTGCAGAGGGAACCTAACAACATTCAATTGAAGGTTCGTGAATAAGACTTCGCCGGGCAGGAGGCCGGCGCCGGTCGTAATATTAACGTCTTGGGGGCAAACCCTAACTTCGATGTTGTCAGGAAGTCTAAGTCTCATACGAAGAACATCCAGATCTACAACCATGGTGGAAATGCTAGAAGAATCTAAAGAGGGAAAATGGAAGCCTACCGAAAGTAAAAAGAACGAAACTAACCTCGGAGGACTGCAAGATCGCTGGAAGAATGACTCTCGAAGGATTTCACCGGAAAAGGCTTAGCACTGTTCTAGAAAGAGAGAGACTTGGCTGATGATGGAGACGGTAAAGAGAAGTGAAGTGGAATTCTAGAGCATTATAAAGGCGAGGGGGCCCGAGGGCCGAAGCGTCGGGAAGGCAAGAAATCCCTCGAGCTCCGGAACATTGATTCTGGATCTGACCGTCCGCTCCCCCACGTGGTTATCTCGAGCCGTCAGCGTCATGATGAGACGCCATCAATAATTACCCCTTATTAAATAAGGGGCAATTATGGGGGCAGTTGAGGAGGCCCCGGATGACATGGGCCAGGTCCGACTCGCAAAACACAACCTTCAGTCCGAATAGCTGGGTCAGCCCATAGAAAGACACTGCCATATGGGCCGAGCGGGAGTAAGCCCATCAAGGGTAACTAGGGCTTACAGAGGAATAGGCCCAGGTCCAGCAATCAGAAAATATCTTGCAAGTATCTTGTAAATATCTTGTAAGGATCTATAAATAGGAGTTGGAATGAAGAGGAGAAGGATCTTTTTCGGGTTGAGGTGTAAGAATTCTAGAGGGAGAAAGAATAGTAGGAGTTTCTTGCATCTTCAATATTATATGGTCAAGATTTTAGAAATAATAATTAAAAAAGGCAAATATATTATAAACGATTCTAATTAAAGAAATTATTGCAAGAGTTTAGTACTCATAATTTTTTTTAATTTAGAATGAAAAATAAAAATTTGTAACTCACAACTTTCAATGATTAATCTTGATATATTTGGTAAACCAAGATGAAAATTGGAGACAATCTTAAACAAAAAAAAATTGTAGTTAATCCATATTCAAAACTCTCATATTACCAAATTTAAAATTATAATATAAATAAATATCCAAAATTCCAATGGCCCCATCAACTCATCCAAAAGTTTTACCACTAACGCCTGACGGGGCTCACTGAGTCAGATACACATGTGATGTGGGGGGGCTTCCATCACCGAATGTCAGTTACAGACAGTAAGGCAGCGGACGAGTACAAATTTTAAAAAACAGACGAACTGAATTATGAAAATCCATTACATTACAATCCAAATCAAATACAATACTGATTTACATTACAATCCAAATCAAATTGAACAGTACAATAGTACTGGTGCCTGAGTGACGAGTCGAGTCGGTGTCAACTCAGCTGTCCTCGAGCACACGCCTATGCTTTTCAAGAAACTCTAGAAAGGGCTCTATGTATCTGTCTTGCCCTTCTTTGTCTCCGAATATCTTCTTCATCTCCCATGCGTTGTCCCTGTAAATTGTTCCCTCACCATCAACCATTACCAACCTCACCGACTCAGCCACTGAGTTCCTCGTAAACGACCCGTCTCGTTCGTCCCTCGGTATCTCTATCCCAACCTTTTTATCTTCAAACACCCTAGCATTCAACCCTTGATCTACCACAAAGGGTAACATGATAAGTGGGAGCCCAAACTTGAGTCCCTCTATGATGGAACTCCAACCACAGTGGGTCAGGAAACCACCCACCGAGTCATGACCCAGTACCCTGAGTTGTGGCGCCCAGCCCGTCCAAATAACTCCACGACCCCTGGTTCGCTCCTCGAACCCAACCGGCAACTCAACCGAGTCAGACTCGTCCAAGCCGGGTGGCTTTCTCAGTGCCCAGAAGAAGGGTAACCCAGATTGCTCCAACCCAAGAGCCAACTCCGTGAGTTGCTCCTGACTCAGTGTCACCTCACTCCCGAGTGCTACGTAAACCACAGAGCCTTTCTTTTGCTTACCCAGCAACTCACTAATGGAAACCCACGCTTCATTTCTCTCCTCTCCGCTATCCTGCACCGTGGGAGGCATTAAACCCACTGGAATCACAGGTTTGCCGTAAAGCTCTCGGAGCACGTTCAACCATTCTGGTTCGAACTCCTCACAGTGTCGCATAAAAAAAGCGTCAATCCCGGCATAGGTCATTCCCACTCGGTACATGTCCGAAACCCCTAACTCGTTGGGTTCAAACGCTCCCATGATAAAGGGTGTCTCGTGGAGGCGATACGCTACCTTTGTCGGGAACCGAACCCACTCCGGCGGGACGGTGAAGTGCTCGGGCTCTGTCCGTGGATGAGAACCGTCAATCAATCCCGAAGTGGGTCCAAAGAAACCTATGAACCATGCATTGATAATTGAAAAGAAGGCACACGAGATGTTAAGTTTAGCTGCGATTGGTAGCAACCAGTAAGGAAGAAAATCGTGAAGAATCCAATCAGGAGATGAGTTGTAGAGGAACCGAGTCAAATCAGTTTCGAGGCCGTCGAAGGCGATCTTGAGGTACTGAATCTGGTCGCCGCGAACGTCCATGGTGGCCTCGGCGTTGTGAGGCAGACCGTGGACGTTGGGCAAAGTGAGAGGGACAAAGTGTATGTGAGTGGCTAAGTTTGGAGGGAGTCTGGGGAGGCGTTGGATGTTTCTTGGGGTGGAGATAAAGGAGACTTTGTGACCCCTAACGGCGATGGACTTGGCAAGCTCCAAGAATGGTATCATATGACCGAACCCTAGCCATGGGAACATAACTACGTGTAGTTTGTTGCCATCGGAATCCATGATCGATCGGTTTGATGTGGATGTTAGCGATTGGCAACTGCCTACTGTGGTGCTTAAATTCATTTCATGCCCATTCTATATATACACATTACACACCGTTTTCCCCTAGCTACTCTTCCTATGCAGCTTTATCGCATTTTCTTTTTGACATTTTACCACTTTCACCCATTAATTTCACAATACTAAACTTTACTTTGCTTGTGCACAAAGTTCAATGTTCAAATTCTCACTCTACCAGTTAATTATTTTAATTTTAAAAAATAATAAAATAAAAAATGAAAAACTTTACTTGACTTACTTTTGTTTTTTTGGTACTGTTTCTTTTTAAAATTATTAAATTTACTTTTGAAATGGGATAACTAATTTAAGATTTTCTAAATAAAAGGAATGGAACTATCAGACTACTAATATTAAATAAAGAAAAAATGATTTTTAAACTCTATTGTTGCACTAATTTGTCTGACTTACCAATTTTAATTGGTCGGGTTATATATAAATAAATGTGTAGATTCCTAACTTATTTATTTAAACTCTCACAGTATCTGGCACATTAAATTTACACAAAAATATTATACTAACTATTTGTAGCTCCAGCAGTTATTTTATACTTTATGTCATACCTAAGGCCTGCATAACTTTTACAAAATTTACTTTCTTCAGTTTACTTCAGCAGTTATTTTATACTTTATGTCATACCCAAGGCCTGCATAACTTTTACAAAACTTACTTTCTTCAGTTTACTTCAGCAGTTATTTTATACTTTATGTCATACCCAAGGCCTGCATAACTTTTACAAACTTACTTTCTTCAGTTTACTTTTTGGCAATTAAACCTCTCGTCCCAATCCTCCTCAATTAGAAAAAAATAATAATAATTCCCCCCCTATATTTCACTTTCCCATCCCGCCAATAGCAAACCTTCACGCCATTGCCACCGGAATTCTAACTTATAACAAATAATAAAATAAGATCCAAATATGTAGAAACTAGGTAATTAAAATATATATCTAATATTTGGCTATTACATATTTATCTCATTAGAATAGAATGTAAAAGGATAAAAAATCTATAAAAAAGAATCCTAGAATCAACAGTATGATTACATAAGATAAGATCAAACGAAAGTGATGAATCAAACTATATTTATTAAATAAATAAATAAATAAAAGATGGTCAAACAGTTCTTACCTTGTCGCCAGTTATAAATTCTTCTCTATCCCACTCTAGAAAAGTGGGAAACAAAGATGCGTAAAGGAATAAGAGAGAAGAAAGAAAGAGAATCGTGAATGGGAAAGGGGGAGGAAAGAGAAAATATACTTACATGGCAATGTAAAAGTGCTGTGTAAAATACACAATTCTTTTACACATTAGTGATATGACAGCATATCTTAACAGATTGCTAAAGATAAAAAAAAAAAAAATTACAAACCAGTGTATATTTTATATAAATTTTTTTTTTAACAAATCGTGGAGATGTTCTTACTCTAAGAGCATCTCCAATGGAAAAATGCTAATTTTGGATGCCAAATCTATATTTTGACAGTGGTACAGTATCAAAATGCTACATTTTAACAATTATACTCCAATGATGCATTTTATGCAAAATACTATTTTTTAACACAACCACTATTCTTTTTCAACTACCATTCCCACTATTCATATTTGCATCAGTAATGTTAATATTATGCACATTTCAAGTCAAGTTGTAGACATTAGAAGGAAACTAAAATTAAACTTAATTAAAAAGAATCAAAAATCTAAAATATCTGGTAAAAAAAGGACCCAAATATATATATATATATATATATATATATATATTATATAATTTTTTTTTTCTTTTTCAAAAATTTATATTGTATATATATGTATATTATATATATTTGATTATATTATTATTAAATATATATTTAGGGCAAATCATTGCAGCCTCCCAAATCGCCATATATAGTTTTAGGGCAAATCATTTCAGCCTCCCCAATCGCCTCCATCTCTATTCTCATTCTCTACTCTGAAATTGCTCCATCTCTCTCTCTCCCTGCAACTGCAAACTACAAAATCAACAAGAATCAGAAATTCAAAACCTATATCTTTCAATTTCCATTGCCCGCTGTTCTAGTTCGGGTTCGCCGTTCGCAAGCTTTAGGCGCTATCTCTCAACTTTCAAGCTTGCCCCCTTTCTCTCTCTCTCTCTGCAACTGCTAACTTGTACATATGGGTTTTGTTTTAATTTTTTTTCTAAATCAACTAATCAATGTCTGTAATTCTTGTTTTGCAAACTAAATCCTATTTGGTGAAATTTTTTATGATCTTTTTAAAATATATGTATATATAGAATCCAAACGGATCATCGCCGAGGAAATTGCCGGAATTGGAAGCTTTTACTCTGAAATTGCCGATTTCTGCCATTGAAGAGAGATTTTGGCAGAGCGAGAGAAAGAGAGACACGGAAGGCAACAAAAAAAGGCAAATAACTATTACTATTTGTTTTGTTAGATTTGACACAAAAAATAACAAAAACAAAATTTCACCGGTGATATAACAATTTATTGGAGGGTTCAATTTTAACTCACCTAGGAGTACTATTTTAAATTGACCTCTGCTGTATAAGCGGACCAGGGTTCACATTATAGCGTGAGGAAACATCATATTAGTGGTGGGTCCCACAGCATGTGTCTATAGCCTCTTGTTGATTTCGGCAATAATAATAATAATAATAATAATAATAATAATTTTTCTTATGAATTTTAATATTTGAACAGTGAATTCTATCATTTCTATGAATGTCATGGAGCCATTGATAGGTTAACAGAGAGGATGTTGACACGAGAATATGATTGACTGCTATAGGTGTTTATACAGGAGAGAGGGTAAATGTGACAACCTTATGCTGAATGCTAGTGTATTCTACGAGTGGGTGGCATTTTTTTGGCCAGTTGTGGATGAGAATTATTGATCAGTCCTGATAGTCATTGGGTGATATTGTTCTTTTTATCATTGTTCTTTTTAATAATAATTAATTATCAGCCTTTGGTGAAAACATACATGTCTACCCTGTATTTGGTTTTTGATTGCAATGTCTTGGGAATTGCTACCAAATCCAATGTACACACACACACACATACATACATACATACATACATACATATATATATATATAGATAGTTGGATTAGATGAGCATATATAGTTGGATTAGATGAGTAATTCATATATATATATAGTTGGATTATATGAGCATTTATAGTTGGATTAGATGAGTAATATATATATATATATATATAGTCATTGGGTGATATTGTTCTTTTTATCATTGTTCTTTTTAATAATAATTAATTATCAGCCTTTGGTGAAAACATACATGTCTACCCTGTATTTGGTTTTTGATTGCAATGTCTTGGGAATTGCTACCCATATATATATATATATATATATATGTATGTATGTATGTATGTATGTGTGTGTGTGTTATGTATGTATGTATGTGTGTGTGTGTTAGCAATTCCCAAGACATTGCAATCAAAAACCAAATACAGGGTAGACATGTATGTTTTCACCAAAGGCTGATAATTAATTATTATTAAAAAGAACAATGATAAAAAGAACAATATCACCCAATGACTATCAGGACTGATCAATAATTCTCATCCACAACTGGCCAAAAAAAATGCCACCCACTTGTATTCTATATATATATATAGTTGGATTAGATGAGTAATACAAATAAGTAACTTATCCTTTGGTAACATATAGTATTATTAAATTTTTAGAGTAGTGGTTGACACTTGACTGTGTATTCTATTACGGTGGACCAACCTCTTTAATTCACCATCTACCCATAATCCTTTTTTTTTTTTTCTGTTTTTTTTTTTGAATAATTCTAATACCCATATAAGTGCAGGTACTACTAATATGAGTTTTGCTAGGCACAATCGCCTATGTTCACTGTTGCCATTAATTGCCTATTTTGATTGGCTAGAATTAGCTTCCGTGTATGGGGGCATTTTTTTTTTTTCTTTAATTCTCTTATTTTTGACACACTTTGGAAATAGAGTTTTAACTTAGTGAACCTATTATTGCGTTTTCTCTTTCCCTTTAACCGGTCATCGCATTTTTTTTTTTTTTTAACTTCCTCATTGTTGATGCAAAAATTTGTATGGTCCGGAGTCGGGAGTGTTTTCTGCAAGACAAGAGAGAAGTGACAACCGGCGTGGTGCCGGCCATGTGCACTCCGACGGTCAAGTTAGTACTTGACGATTGAATATCCAATTAAGGATTAAATATAGGATTTATGGCGTACCTCCAAATGTCGATTAGCCCCCTTTATTTATAGGGCTTAGGTCATGATGTCACGTAGAGTTACCGTTGTCTTCATCCTTATCATAATCTGTAGGCTTAATCCTTATCATAATCTGTAAATTTAATCCTTATCGTAATCTGTAATCCTTATCGTAATCTGTAGGTTTAATCCTTATAGTAATCTGTAATCATTATCTTAATCTGCAGAGCCTATCTCAATCTTATGAGATAACGCGTTAATTTAACAACCTTCCTTTATCTCTGGGTATTTAATTTATACATCCATCAATTGCCCCCCGTTTCGGAGGATTGCTTATCAAACCACCGAAACGTTAATTCCCAAATATTACATAATAATAGATATTTAGAATTGTAGAGCTGTTCACCCCGTATTTCTACAATGAGTTGGTTTGATTATTAGATAGTAGAGCCCTGCCCATTAGCTTGACTCATATTGCCACTTCGCAAACACAGTCAGAGGTCGAGCTTGACTCAAAATTTTGCCTGACTCAAATTTAGCCTAACATAGTCGGGGGTAGGGCCTGACTCAAATTTAGCCTAACACAGTCGGGGGTATAGCCTGACTCAAATTTAGCCTAACACAGTCGGGGGTAGAGCCTGACTCAAATTTAGCCTGACACAGTCGGGGGTAGAGTCTGACTCAAATTTAACTTGACTCAAATTTTGCCTGACACAGTCGGGGGGTAGAGCCTGACTCAAATTTAGCCTGACTCAAATTTTTTTTTTAGGACCGTAAATGTCTTTGACAT